AAAAAAAAAAAAAAAAGGGCATGCATAGGCTTTGGGAGGCTTGTAGAGTGCTCCTGGGGGCTGGTGGGGGAAACAACCGAAAAAAGGCCTGCTTTTCATGAAAACAGGCCCGTTTTTTTGCAAAAAACAGGGCATGCATAGGCTTTGGGCGGCTTGTAAAGTGCTCCTGGGGGCTGGGGGGGGGCAAAAAGAACTGAAAAAAGGCCTGTTTTTAATTAAAACAGGCTCACTTTTTGCCAAAAAAAATAAAATAAAACCCAGGGCATGCAAAGGCTTTCGGAGACTTGTAGAGTGTTCCTGGGGGCTGGGTGGGCAAGAACACAAAAAAAAGGGGGGCCTGTTTCTCACTCATTTTTCTCCTCCCCAGCCCCCAGGAGCACTTTATAAGCTTCCCACACCCTCTGCACTTCCATTTTTGCAAAGGGGGTGGGGTTTGGGGAGGCTAAAAATGCTGTATTTGGTGTATAAGACGCACTCAGATTTTCACCCACTTTTTTGGGGGGGGGAAAGTTGTGTCGTATACTCTGTAAAATACAATAACCTTCAATAAAATATTTATTTCTCCATCCACCTTTCTCAGATTAAGAAATCATATTTCACTGCCACCCTCCAGAGAAAGAAAAGAATATTTCGTTCCATACCCAAAATCTGGACTTCGATGTGCCTTGGCTTCTCCACGAACTTCTCCACAAAGAGAGCACCGTTGCCAAAGGCAGAGAGGGCCTCGGAGAACGCCCGGGTGTAGTTCTCCTCCAGCTCCTGCCCAGAGAAAAGGAATTGCCCTGGCTTGACTCCCCATCCTCAACAAAGACCCTCCTGTTCCCAGCTGGGGATGCCTCCAAATATTTCTGGCCCATCCGGGGACAAGAAAGGAGCCTCCTCAAAGACTGCATTATTTGGGGGGAATCCAATGTCCCGTGGGCAACGGTTTTGTCACCAACAAATCCCATCAAACGAGAACCACCCTTCAATTGGTTTTGTGGAGGCTTCTGACACAAATATGGGCAGACCCCCCCGACAGAGCCTGCCTGGGCCCACCTACTTCCCTGGGTTCAAGGCCCTGCATGCTGAGCCACACGCCCTAACGCCCTACCTCGTAGCTGCGCACGACTCTCATGCCTCGTCCTCCTCCGCCATAGGCAGCCTTGAAGATGATGGGGAAGCCGTACGCCTGCGAGAACTCCTGGGCCTCATTCAGAGAGGAGATGGGGGCGTCTGTCCCGGGGACCACAGGCACTCCTGAGGAGCAAAGAGGAGTCCCACTGAGCCCAACAGCGCCTGGACTGGGAGCCCTGACTGGGAGTGTCTGCTGGGCGGGGGGCGGGGGGGGGGCGGATTAAGAAACCCCTGTCCCCAGGGCCGCTTCCAGGTCTACTGCTCTGTCCCGTCCACCCATCTCCTGGAACCGTCCCTCAAAAGGAGCAGAAGAAGTAAGGAAATCTGAAGCTGATCTTGAGGAAGGTGTAAGAAAAACTCAAAATCACCTACAAGATTAGCATCCTTACTAAGGAAAATAGGCAGAAGCCTGAAAGCCTCGTTTCCAAATTTCTCTCTTTCCTCTCTTATGTTAAGCCAAACCAAGGTGAGATTATGGCGAGTTTCTTTCTCAAAACTGCCGTGATCCAAGGCCCCCTTAACAGCTCTCTCATGCCTTTTACAAGGTTAGGCTCTACAACGATTGGCTGAAGTACTGAAAGATCCCAACTCTCACCAGCAGTCCAAAAATGCAACCTATCAAAAGCTTCCGAGATCTCAGAATGAAGAGGATCCTGTCTCCCCCGCGGTCCAGGTCTTGCCACGGTCTACCAAAATGGGGACTGATACGGTCCCTGTTCTTTGAATTGGCCCTGGGTCCAGAACAACTCGGCTCCAACAAAATGATGGAAATTTCCTACCGGAAATTAGCAAACTTGGAGCAAAAGGGACAACAAGGAGCGATTTCAAGGCTGCTGCTTCCCCCGAGTCATCTTTACTGTAGGCTGATCCTACCCAGATCCTTTAGCCTTTCCTCATCTTAGATGTCTAATGTTCATTTTCTTAGCACATAATTAACTAATTTGGGATTGAGGGAAAAGTCCTATAAATCTTATTAATAAATCATTGTTTAAAGACGGCTATAAAGTTATAATATTGTGTGGGCCTGGAGAGGAGAGGTGAGATAAACAGTAAATAACCTTTAGTTATCTACAACAATAACAATGAAATGTTAATGGACAATATTTAATGATACAGGTGTGTTACGGGGGGCGGGGGGAATGCTTAGATATCTTACTTAACCGAATTAATTTTAGAATATGTCATAAAGGTGTAATGTTATTGGAGATCTATTGAAATTGCAAATGAATG